TATATATATATTTCGATAAAAACTCTTATTTTTATTTCCTTAATTATTTACTACTTTCATACTTATATATAAGTTCTAATTTAAAATAATTATTTTTATTTTATATAAGACTCAATTTATAGTGTTTGATATATTAATTATTTTTAAATAAAATATTTCTAATTAAAATATGTTCTCTTAATTTATTAGAATACATTAATTATATATTCTTAAAAGACATGCATTCTAATTAGTTAAGAATTAAGCAATATTAATTATGAGAGAGAAGTAATATATAACATACACTCTAATTAACGAAGAAAGAAATGAATATTAATTATAAAAGAAAAATAATAATAGAATAATTTTCGAAGAAAAATATAAAAATAAGACATTCATTATTATCAACTAAATTAAAAACTTTCAATATGCAAAAAAAAAAAAAATCTAGATTAACTGCCCAAAAAAATGTGCATATACACTTTCAATAAAAACTTTGGATATTACGTTAGATCATTTACAGACCCAACATATGTTCAAAGTTATAAAATATGGTCAGTAAATGATCTAAAGGTCAATTCTTTCAGGATTGTTGACTTATGTCACATTGCATGCACGCTGGGTCAATTCTTTCCAACAGATCATAATATAACTAGTAGATCCTAATTTACTACTTGTTACCATGTAGCCTGAAAGGAACTTTTTAGTCATAAACTTAATATAACAAGTTTCTAAGGATCGAAACAAATAAGAATCATCAGTTTCAGAGTGATTTGCTAACCAAAGTTTTTGTGGGAAATTTGAACTATAATATAGCAATTAAGCATGTAAAAGGCAAATTGAGGGGAGTGATTTCTTTACTAACTTTGTGGTTGGGCTTGTACCAATCTCCTATAAGCAGGGTGAATTCTCCATCAGGGGCCGGATATGGGATAGATATCACAGATCTTTGTGCAACATTCAATCCTCCAAAACCACCTGCAGCTTTATGGATTTTGGTTGATGGGAAATATGTGTAGGTACCAATTTGATCTTTTACTTGAAACTTGTATGTCCAGTTTGTGTTAGGAGGGATTGGACAGTTAGTTCCTAAAACTCCATCTTGCCATGATGTCCTTCTTTGCTTTATACCACTCCTGTTTAGCATTACACCAAAGGAATAAAGGGTTAATAGTTAATAGACTCCACCATTAGCACCAAAGGAATAAAGGGTTAGTAGTTTATAAATAGTGGAAAAGAATCACTAACCATGTAATGAGGAATTTCTCGTCCAGTTTGTTAATGACATTAATAAGGATATTGTCATTAGTGATGGCTTCAATTGTAGGGCCAGGAAATTGACCATTGATGAGAATGCCCTAGTAAGGAAGCAAGTAAAATATCATATTCATAATACCCTTTTCAACTGAGAAAAAATTACATTTTAAAAGGCTGAGAAAAATGACCAACCGGTTGAGGAACACCTAGAGGATAAATTGTTCCATTGGTGATTTCCCATGTGAAATACAAATATCTGTCTTCTGCAACAACTGAGAGAGCACCCCAGCAAGCCAAAATTCCAAGAAAAACTGAAGAAAGAATGCTCTGCTTCATCTTGCCCTGACACACTGTAAATTTTCGAATGTCATTTTACATTCTCAATGAATTCCAATTTAAACTTCATCTATGAAGAAAATCAAGTGAAGCGAAAGATATCTACAACCACGAATTCTTTGATTTGGTGGTGGAAATTGAAAGTATAAAAGTTTTAAAATTTGAGGTATAAACTTAAAGTGCCATAAAATGTACCACTATCAACCAAAACGTTAAATGGACAAAACTTATACGTAGTGCCATAAACCAAAGTTGAAAATTCAATGTAGTACCAATTGTTTTCATCTTGACAATTAAAATCAGGCAAAACTAAATGAAATATCGATGTTGTATCTAAGTTAGGAAAATAATAAATACTATACAGTTTTATGCTTGCGATTCAACAAGAAAGTTGATAGCGTACCAGAAATCAAAGCTCCTCTTAGAGAAGAGGAAACTGAGATACGATGAAGTGAAATGAGGATGAAGAATAGAGTGATTGACGCTGCCCTATATATATATCTACGTACGTATGACAGAGAGAATAGATGATGCTACAGAAGATGCCAGAGTGTGCACCACACAAGTTGTGTACGCAAAATACTATGTTGTACATGCATTACATTACAATTATAGTTTGTTTAATATTTGTCAAAAGCCCATGTTACGAAGTTGACTAGGATTTCTTGAAATAAGCAAGAGCACCGCGTTAAAGAAGAATAAAATATTATAAGGGAGTTCCATAGTTTCATTAAATCCGCATTTGCTTTAGCTTATTCAAATGGTTTTCCTTGTGAAAATGTGAAGCATGATGAGTTGGCTTTTGTGCTAAGGTTGAGTCGGTGGTGGCCGGAAGAGAAGATCTGATCGAACCGGGTGCGTCGCAGCCGATAACGGATCCTCATTAATTGGTGGAGTGAATTCTACGACCTTATATTCAATTATATATTTGTTATTATTGTTCTTAGTGTTCACTTCAAATTTAATTCATCAACACCTACAACGTGGACAGAGAGAGAACGCAAACATAATGATGACCATGTGATTTCGGTTTCTTTTTTTCCATATTACATTAATAGCACTAAATAGAAGAAAGGGTATTTTCTCTTTTAATTGATGTTAATTATAAATTCAAGTGGTTTGAATAGTGTGTTACCTTTAATATATCAATATGGTTGATTGCTGTACAAGTCTTATTCTTGGTTTCAATCAGAGACATCCAACCCAAGAGTGTTACAACGTGGTTGTGAAAACGTATTTGAAGACAAGGTGATCGAATAGTATGGATCTCTGTTGGATTCTTCATTTCATTCTGTCTATGAACTTAATTAACACTTTTTTCCTATTTCATATTCCGGAAAGCCACTTTTTGCTAGCTCGTAAAATGCGATGTCGAGTGAATAAAAGAATGTTGGAGAAAGAATTCAATTGATGAATGAATCTCAAGTTTAGCTGAAGATGATGAATTTTGTGAATAGTACTTGGTTGAGAAATCCTGTACATAAAGGATTTCAAATATTCACTGATTCGTTGATGTAATACTCTTCTGTTCCAAAATGATCACAATTTTAATATTTTTTTTAAATTTTAAAATAAATAATATTCTCAATGTATATATAACATCAAAACTAGAGAAAGGTGATTTGCATGAAATCACAAAGTGCGATACCCGAAGCACTATATTAATTTACCCATTTGAATAATTTTTTAAAGCTTGGAAAAAGGAATGGGATAGCAATTGCAGCATAACTTGATCAATGATCCACTATGTATAATTAATTCCTCTATTTGTTCACATTGCCAACCTGTCTATTTTGAGCATACATCAACCTTTTGTTTTAGTCATCATGATGTGAAATATTGTGCTGTTTGTCTTTATGTATGGATTAAGGTCTTAATTGTATTTTTCAAAAGGTGAACCCACGTGAATCCTCGAACATTAACAAAAACTCAATAAAATCTGCATCAAATATTAAGTGTCTAAAAGTAAAACACTAAACAAGTTATAATTGTCAGAGTTTTATGTAAGGGGATGATATTTCACATTCTTGTAATTAATCATAGGTGTTTATAAATAAAAGTCAACTAGCTGTGTAAATGATTGAGTCAACTCTATAAGTGTCACTCATGTCCAAGTCAAACAAGCCAACCATCATTTAATAATATGGAATAGATCCCAAGAACTAAAATCGTAGGAAAAGAGAAATATGAAAGGAATTACCCCCGTGATTATTTTCATGTTTAATTTCAAGAAAAAAGCGTCGCATGAATATGGTAATTAACGTGTTTAGTATATTTTACAATTATTTTTTTACAAATATTTTTATTAAGAAGAATAAACACATTCTCTATTCCTAATTCTTTTATTTCCTTCTTAATTTTTCTTTTAGGAGAATTTTATTGTTTTAATTAATTATTAATCACCTGACATCGTATGATTTGGGAAAGAAAAAGAGAAAAATTAGAAAGTAAGAAATTGAAGTAATGGGTAATAAATATATTTTTAAACTATATTTGGTATGAGACATGTATGAAATAGAGAGAAAAATAAAATTAAAATTCTCTCTACTTATTTAATTGGATAGAAGGCAAAAACATTTCAAATAGACAATAATGCACATAACAATAAGCTATATATTAAATAAAATAAACGATACATATTAAAAAATCAATTAATTTAATTTGAAATAGTGTGACAAATAAAATATTAATGTAATAATATATTCTAATATTATTTTTTTTAAGAAAATCCAGAAAATAAATAATCCAATTATATTTTACTCACAACTAATATTTTATTCTATGAAATATATGGAATAAATTTTTATTTTTATATAATTAAATTTTATAATAAGTATTATTTTGAATATATAAATTATATTATAATTATATTTTTTTATATATTAAATTAGTATTTATAAACATATAAATTATAATTTATATTTGATAATTTAGATTTGAGATAAATATTTTATAGTTTGATAAAAGGATTTTTTTAATTGTTGACTATTTCTCTTGAAATATATCAAAATTTAATTTAATAAAAAAATAAAATTCTAGATTGAACAAGATAGTGGCCCAAAGTGTGTCATTGAACCAACTAAGTCATACTTAAGAAGTTAAATTGCAAGAAATTAAAAACCGCACCGGGACAAAATTTAACAACTCAAAGTTCTGCTGTTGGCTGTAAGTTGTGACACCACACCAGAAATTAGAGTTTTCAAAATCCACCCAACTCAAACAAAAAATTACAAACAATTTAGTGATTGAGTTTGGTTTTCAAAATTTTAAAATTGCACGATTTGGTTTAAGTTTTTAAATATAATTTAAAATTATTTCAAATCAAATCAAATCGTACTTATTTGTAAATATATTTATTTTCTTCAAATGTATAGTATATGTATACAAAATTTATACATTATATATAAAAGGTGTTTTATAAAATTGTAACTTATTAAAAGGTGTTTTTCTCTCCAAATATACATTATAATTTTTAAAAGGTATTTTAGAAAATTATAAGCTACTAAACTGAATTTTAGAATAAAAAATTATGAATTATTTATAACATTGAAAATATTTTTTTTAATTGACAAACTAGATATATGAGAATATGATGACTAAAATTGTATTAAAGAAATATTTTTACTAAAATAATAAGATAAGAATTGATATTAAATATATTAAATAATCAAAATATTTTAATATTTTTATACTTTTACTTTTATTATTTTATACATGATTTTAAACAAATGACATATTATTATATATTTTTAGTTAATTTATAAATAATAAATTTTTAAAGTCAATCTAAGTCAAACTGCAAAATAAAATATTAGTTTGGTTTGATTAATTTGAATATCATAATTTATTCGAATCGAACCAAACTGAAGTACACTTAATTATTAATTATTATTGGATTTTTGTTTTAATTTTATTACTAATTATTAATAGTAACAAATGATCACTAATAATTACTAATTATTTTTATATATATTTAAAAATCTTCTATCATAATTCATTAACAATCAAACTTCTATAGCAGACAAACTTCTATCCAACCAATATTATTTTCTTTTAGAATGGAAATAAACCAAACTTTTTATAGGAGACATTGTTCTTGAAAAAATTGACCGAAGATTAAATATATTTGTTATTCATATATGTAATGTATTTGAGTTTAATGATAAGAATGCGTTTTTCAATAATAAATTCTTAATATTTATACTTTTAATTAATATTTTTCCATTTTAATAAAAGATTTTATAATATTATTTACTCTTATATATTATTATTGGTTGGTTCAACTAGTATTGTATAAAAAGTAATTGCATCGCCTAGGGTTTCGATACGTACGTTGTGTATGCATCATGGCTAACCACATGGACATGGTCGTGCCATGGGCATTCCTTACAGACGATGTAAGTCCTTCCTTGGTAACAGATCCAACAAGCAAGAAATCATTTGCACTAGTGCTTAACAAGGCTTGTGACATTTCGATCAGCCAGCTCTCTGTTCCTTGTATGAAGGGGGATGCCTTGGCAGTGTCCATACCTAAAGAGGAATATCTTGTAGGGTTGGATGGATGCAAGAACAACCTTCATGGTAGGTTGATGCTTCCAAAAGGATTCTCCCCAAGTTGTTTTCAAGATCTACGTTCTCAATTGAGTAACATGTGGAAGCCACTCCCTTATTGGATGGGCTTTTTAGGAAAAGGAATCTATGAATTTTCTTTTTCATCTATTGAAGATCTTTGGAAGGTTATGCTGGTGGTTCTTGGACCCTCAAGCCCGGAGTGTTAAGGTTATTCTCTTGGACATCAGATTTCAACCCTAACAATGTTTGTCAGTCAAACACACAATGTTGGATGCATATTTTTGGCTTGCCACAAGAGTACTGGCATCTGCGAGTCTTGTTTTCCATTACTCATGTCATTAGAACACCTTTATCTCTGGATGATACTACAATGCGTCATAGCTTTTGCGACTTTGCTTGTGTTTTGGTTAACGTTAACCTAAAACAAAAGTTGCGTGATCAGATCCTTGTAGAAAGGATATTGGCTATGTTTTCTTGTGGATCTTGTTTATGAAAAACTCCCCCATTTTGCTCTTCTTGCCAAACCATCGGTCATTCTTTGGTGGATTGCAAAAGGACAGATAGAAAAAGTAATCCAAAGGTGCAACAAGATGTGGTATGGAAACCCGTTCCCTAGGAAAAGGCAGTGGTAGACGGAGATGATGCTAGGGGTGAACAAGACATCTTTGGTGTAATATGATGTTCATGGATCTTTGGTTATTGTAGGGGTTGATGTGGCTACAATTATGCAAGATGAAGAACATGATGATGAGGCTCAAGTTGTTGACAAGGAGGCTAATATCATTGAGAACCATGCATCTCTAACTCAGGTTGCTAGAAAAGAGGCTAATACCGATGAGAACCATGCATCTTTGACTCATGTTTCTGACTTGATATAGGTGCAGAAGATGACATAAAC